TGTTCCTTTTAAGCCTCAGCTCCTTCACCTTAAAATGGGGGTGATGAGTGAATGTGTACAGCATAGTGCTGGGTGCAGAACTCATTGCACTGGTATTAAGGTAAGTCCCAGACTGGTGTGAGGATACAAGCTGGCCTGGCAGCAGTGGCAGCTCTATGTGAGCAGTGAGGGGTGCATTGGTAAAGTTCAGGTTGCAGTGCTGCACCTTCCAGTTCCCCCAGTGTCAGTGCCCACCCTAGGTGGCACCACTGCCTCTTGTCACCAGAATGGATTGAATTATGTCCCCTGTTACCATTAATGTCCTGAATGTGGATTTGTTGAGAGGAATCAGAGACAGCATGAGAGGATTTCAAAAGTGCTGGTCCTCAAGAAAACTACCTTAGTGTTTTCCCTCCACCAGCTGGTAAGCTGAAAACTGAGGCCCTGGAGGTGACCCAGGCAACGCTCCCTTCACTGCGTTGCTCCTGAAACCTACATGTTCTTCCCCAGTCCTTGCTCTGAGCTGACCGAATGGAGTGGCCAACTATTACTGTTCCCTCCCCTACCGACCAGAGCCACTGGCAGGTGTTTTTAACTGCAGTAGAACCGGTCACACCTCTACGGTTCAAACCAAAGACAATTTTTGCTTCCCATTGCTTTTAGCCATCCTCCATATCTGGAACTGCCCCTTTTTGTTCTTCCCCCACCCTCTCTCCACTTAATGTTCGGCACCTGCACTGTCTCCCGTCGGGCAGAGCCAGCTGGCTGCTGGAGAGCAAAATCCACGTCTTTACACCGAACTGAAAATATCTGGAGCATCGCTTATCTCTTCGCCAGAGGGTGGGAGGAAGAGCCAGGCTGGGGGACTCACTGTACCACTTCCTGCTTGGCTCCGTGGGGCTCTGATTTCCTGACCAGCTGCTTCATGGTCTGAAAAATGCCTGCATTTCCTTATTGTGGATTGTTCCTAGATTTTTAAATATTTGATAGGATTAAAATAAGAGCTGTCCCAGTAAACATGTAAAGTAAAATAAGTAGTTAAGTTTTCTTACAATGCTTGCTTTAAAAAAAATCATTGTAACTACATTAATTAAAAGGTAACCAGGATGCAGGGTATGAGTGAACAGGGCTCCCAAGGGCCTCTGCTCAAAAGCGGAAGCTTCTGCTCAGCCACTGCGGTATACAGTATTGTGTGTGCTTTTCTAGGAAGAAAGAAACATGGGACAACGCAGGCGTTTGTCCGCCAGCTTCCGGGCTGGCGTAACCCAGTCATTGAGACAGAATCAAGGAAAACCCAACACATAGTTAAATTGCAACAGGGGCTTCTTGTTGCCAAGGCAGGATGAGTGTTGAGCAATGGGGTGAGGCTGGGTTGATGGAGGTGACAGTAAGCATTTTAAGGTTGGCTTGGAAAAGTTCCCCTGCCACCCCGGCAGCTGGGCAGCACAGGGTATGGACAGGCTAGCCTCTTGCCAGATGACACGCTATTTTGACCACAGGGCCTCGTAGAGCCAGCACTTTGCGGTTGCCTCTTGGGAGGCTCAGGTGGTGAGGCAGGAAGCCCCAGAAGAGATCTCACACCTTGCTGCCCAGATGGGCAGGTATTGGGATTCAGGAACCACTCTTTACCCTGATTCTGCCCATGGCATGTTGTGGGGTGGGGGTAGGGGGGCTTCTGAGGTAATAAACTGACTGCAGGGAAAAGTATTTTAACCTGTGTAAATGAAGACTGGTTGGCCCTCTTCCACTTGGGGGCTCTGAAATCACAGGCCCTGTAAAGATGCAGCCTCCCATGGACCCCGACATACCTATCAGATAATGTGTCGGCAACAGCCGTTCCCCTCCAGGATGGTAATTAAGGAGCATGCCAGATGTGTCTCGCTCTGATATTGCCATGAAGGGGACACTGAGGCTGAGATCCAGAGATCACGAGTCTCTGTTGTGGAGGACAAGAGAAATCGGGGACAAGCATTAAAGCTGCTTGTCACAACCTGGAAGAATCATTTAGATTCTACTTTTGAAATAAAGAGAACTTTTTTTGATAGATGGTACGTAAAGAGCAGAACCCCTTTTTACCAAAATAGCACTTAGGTAAGGGACTGGCCTCTGCCCACATGTCAGCTGCGTCTTCCTTGCTGGTGCTGGGCTCTTCTCTCCTGGCCTTTACCACGCCTCTTGGTGGGACCCATGTCTTGCCAACGCCTTGTTCAACACTAATTTCTCTCCAGGGAGTTACAAATATTGGCTGGCTGTCTTGGTTGTGAGTGGTCCCCAGGGTGAGAGACAGCCTGCCCACAGGTCGCAGTGCAAGGACAGGACCAGGGGATGCTGGGTTAAGGAAACTGCTTCTCCCCATGTGTAGGTGGGGTGATCTGTCCTGCCCTGTAGTTCTTGTTGTCAGAAGATGGTGTTATCACTTAAGATGGGCAACTGGGAACGTTGGGTGGAAGCTGAGAGAGTACGAACTCAAGAAAGCCCAAGTGTTGCAGGGATTGGTCTAGCAGGGAGTTAAGAGCAATGCTTTAGAAAAAAACAGTCCAGAGTTTGGAAGCCATAGACACGTGGGGAATAAAAATGCTGGACTGAGCGGAGCAGTATGAGAGTTGCATATCTGGGAGCCACGAGTGGTGGCATCAACGAGAGTGAAGGCCCTACACGACTGGAATTAGAAGTTAGGGGCGCCACATATCAGGCACCATAGGGGAACAAACTTGTTCATCCTGTCTGTGTTCTTTGCATGCAGGACTCTGGCTCCTCAGTAGAGTTCTGTCTGGCCAGGGAAGCTTAGGTGCTCAGTGTCCAAAACCCCATGTTTGCCCTGGCTGTCCCCGAGGCATGGCCACATCAGCAGCTGCCTGCAGGGCTTCGGGGTCATGTGCACGCCACAGGTCTGCTCTGGGACCTCTAAGCAGGGGGTGGGCCCCATTGGCCATAAGACTGGCGCCCTGCAGATTGGAGTCTTACAGTTGGGACAGTGAGGGCCTCTGACATGGGGCAGGAGAATGGCAAGAGTAGGTCTCTGGGTGGATGACTCTGGCAGAAGATTGGGCAGAGGAGACCATGACTGTAATCACCCAGGTAGGAGGAGAGACCTTAATGAAAGAACAGTGAAATAGCTTCTTCTAGAACACTAACTGGCAGGTGTTCATCATCTGATGGAAGTGGAAAGAAGTAATGTCATTCACTGAAAAAACAAGAGAGGAGGAGCAAGATTGGGGCAGAGGGTTTGAAAATAAGAAAACAAGCCTGGAACATCCTGAGTGTGCTCTGTATGATGCGTGTGCTAAGCATCAGAGCCAACATTGTGTGAAGCTTGACTATGGCGGACACTGTCAGAAGCACTTTATATCTGTGCTACTTTCTCACAAGAGTCTTGTAAAGTAGGTGCAATTAGTCCCATTTTACAGATGAGGAAGGTGAGGTACAGTGAGATTTAAGTAACTTGCCCAAAGTTACACAGCTAGTAAAAGTAGGAGCAGGTTTGAGTACAGGGCATCTGGGCTCAGTGCCAGAGCTCTTAATACCCACACTATGCTGCTGCTTTGTGACATTTGGAAATCCAGGTCAGGAACTCAGAGCCAAGCTGAGCAATGTTGTGGATATGGAGTCTTCTGAGCCAGGGGCATGCTTAGGTGCCATGGAGAGCTTGATGGGATTGTTTACTGTGCTAGCCTTGGGTGCTGCAGAGGACAAGAGATGGTCTTCAGTATCTCTGCTCAAGGCCCACTGGGTACTTTGTCCAGAAGAGCAGGGGTCGGGGGACACAGAGTAATCTCGTTGACAGCAGCTTGGGGCAATCCCTCACATCTCGGGAGAGGGCAGGTCCCAGTGCCAACAAGCTCCCCAGGGGCCCATCCCTGTCAGGAGGGTACAGGTAGCACATGTCAGACTTGCAGGTGGTCTGGAGGGATCTGAACCTTCTCCCTGAGACATTCCAGAAACACTAAAGCTTGCTCTTCCCCAGTATAGAGCCCACGGGAAAACAGTTTTCTGACTGTTTTTCGCCTTAACCTGCCATCACAGGTAGCCTAGTAGATAATATGTAGCCTTGAGACATAGTCTGCATGTATGGGGAAAGATAAATAGTATGTAACCTTCATGTATAGCTCACATGTGGGAAACATACTTATGTCAACTAGGCCTAAACTTGCCCTGTGCCAGCTTTGTTTATAAAAATTAATGGGGTTCCTCTAGGGGAGCCTCTCACTGACTTCTCACGGGCCACTCACAGGGCCACTGCTGTGGTCGAAGCCCTGGGGGCTGCCGCTGCTGGATGCCGCTGCTGTTGCTACTGCTGCTACCACTACTGCCACTGCTGCTGCTATTGCTGCCTTTGCTGCTACTGCTGCTGCCAGCCTGAGGGACTCCAGGGGAACCCAGGGGGTTAAGGGATCCCCAGCTGCCCAAGGAGCCTGCCTCCACCAGAGCTGGTATGGGGCTACTGACGCCGAGACATTGGGTCGGGCTGCTCCCGCCAGGCCAGCTGGAACAGATTATGCTGTTGCTACCTGTGGGTCTCCTGTTGCTGTGATAAAGACTGGTTCCTGCTCCCCACATGTGGGCTTCTGACCTGCATTCTCATCTGCCGCCATCGAGAACCACACAAGCTTGTAGCTGAGGCCCTACCCCCAGGACCTAACCGCAGTGTTTAGAAAATTCAGATATACCCAATCAGAGAATGAGGATGTCCTGAAGACATTAGAGGATATCTAATTCCATGTCCCCACTTTCCAGATTAGAATATAGAGGCCAAGAACAATATCTTGGCAAGAACTGCCCAAGGTGTGTGTACTCGGCAGCCTTTGACTGTGCAGAATGTGTCATCAAACCCTCGTTCACTTGGGGAAGGGCTTCCTCTTAGGAGGATGGTGTTTCCAACCCTCTTGCATGGCAGAACCTGTGGGGACTGGGGTGGGGAGGGAGGGGTGATAACACCAAAGTGGCTCTCCCTGCCCTTTTCCTCCCATAGATAATGGCAGTCAAGCTCTGCAGAGCAGCCTTTCTAAGGTCATAGGTTTCTGGAGGTGCAAGGGTCAGAATGAAAGAAAAACAGCCTGAGACTTGAAAGCCTTTTGGTAAACCAGTGCCCTTTCGCTGTGGCCACTCCAGCTCCGGTGTCCCTGGGACTGCGGAGGTGAGACCTTGCCACAGACCCTGATGCGATGCAGAAGGATACTGAGCCAATGAGGCTTTGTTGTTGCTTGGCAAGAAATAATAAGCAGTGCATGTGGTTACTTCGACTTTCTGAGGCTGCAGATTCCCAGGCAAAGGAAAAGCAGCTCCCTTTGTTACCTGAAGCCCTTGCTACTTAGAAGTGTGATTCCTGGACCAATATCTCAGGTCCAACCGAGATCTACTGCACTTTATCAAGGCTCCCAGATGATTCCTGGGATGGTGTGAGGGAGCAGAACCAGTTACTTCACCGTCCTGAAATGCAGTCAGCAAGCACTGTAGTCCTCTCTTGCTTCTCCCCCAAAGACAAGTCAGGACCAGAAAGTTAAGCAATAAAGTTTTTTGTTTCACAGGAAAAATGTCCAGGATTCTTAAGGAAGGAGACAGACCAAAATATTCATGAAGCAAGGTAGTCTGGGGTTCTAGCTTAGAGGCAGTGCCACCCCAAAGATCCCCTCGAGCCCCCACCTCAGGCTGTCTCAAATTGGATAGTAACTGGATGACCGGGTGATTTAACCATTTATATTCATTATTCCAGATTATTCAAAGGACAGTAGGTTGGGCAATACATATTAATTAAAATGTTAGGAAGAAAAAAAGTACTCACATACAAAAGTCATCTAGAAAGTGAACTTGTGTGTAACAGCTCTGCCTTCCTTCCCCAAATGCTGCCAGATACAAGAAGGTCTCCTGTAGCTCCTTAACGCTTACTGTTTTGCTGACAAGCTGACCTACCCCTTTCCCTCCAACCCTCCTCCTTAGCCAGACTGTTTTTGGTGGTTCCTGTGGTTGACAAAACACACAGGAGTCGAGGAAGTGATTTTTTTTTTTTGGTTTGTTTTTAAAGAAACTGCATACATCATCAGAGACAAACAATAATTTAAATACCATGCAGTTTCTGTATGTACAAAACCTAGGCCATAGAGATTCAGTTTACTTTGTAGTCTATGTACATTGTCTTCCTCATACAGCCATCATTTGTTAAGTTAGAACACGAGAGCGCTCCTATACAAACACAAACTATGTACAGACACCCGGGAAGCAACTGGGAAAAGCAACCGGTGTGGGGAATCAACAGACAAATGGGAAGAAAAAGTCATTTAAGGTGACCTTCACCCACTAGCTGTGCACAGGGAGAGCCTGAAATTCCAGTCATCGAAGCACACGTCACGATTTTCATTCTGCAAATATAAATACACGTTCAGAAGCAGGAGAAAAATAAACTCAGAGGTTTTCATCACATCTACTGTCACGTTTGGTTTCTCTAATCTGACATAAAGGCTAACGTTGTAAAGGTTTTACAAGGCTTTGAGGGCCTTTGGAGAGGGGTAGATCAGCAAGTCCAGATAGCAGGTAGGCCAGCGGCAGTCTCTTCCTTCCACCATCTGAGAGGGGAGGTTGGGGCGATGTCTAATTTCAAGAGGGAAACATTTCAATTTGAGAAATTTCACACTTTTCCTTTCATGCTAATTCAAATGAAAGAAGGTTCAATTGGAAATTTATACCCACAAATAAGCCTTTTCTTGAAAACTGCAGAAAAGGGACACATTATAATGCACCCGGCCCATCTCTTTGTTATTTTTTTTTTCCTAATTAATGTCAAATTGTCACCTTGGAAAGTCACATTTTTCAGTTGTTATAACAATGTGGCCAAAAAAGAAATTTGGATTGATTTCTATCAAAACTTCAGCATTTCAAGAAGGGGAAGAGACAGCAGAGGGTCCACCCTAGGGCCACTGTGTCAGCTGAGCCAAGAAAAATGGGCTTGAAAGAGCCCATCTTGAGGGTGGGTGAGCTTCTGGTGGCTAGGAGTTGCACCTCTAACTCTATGCAAGTGGCTTCTGGAGAAGGGTGCCCTGCAGGAAGACAGGTGGAAACTGTTCAATTTCTTCCATGCATGAAGTGGGCTGAAACAATAGGGCACTTGGGGCAGAAAACCTGGGCTGCTGGCTGACTGGCTGCAGGGAAGCTGAGTTGGGTGTCAAGTTCCCAGGGAATCTGAAAGGCCCAGAACCAAGGTCTGCAGAGAGCCACTGGCCTTTGTGGAAGTAGCCAGGCAATGGAATGTGTTTCCTTAAAGGCTGGCTCTTGGGCCAGGATACTGCAAGCTGCCCGAAGCCCAGCTGCAAGCTGGAGGAAGTTAAGACTCCACTCCTGGCTAGGCAGGCACCATGGCCTGGAACACGTGGCCACCATCAAGATGTCAAACGAAAGAAGCCTAATCTTTCGTCATACCATTTGCACATTCAAACGTCAGTAAGCCTTTCGGGAAGTAAGTGTTTACAGCCACACTAAAGTCCCGACCACATTTTCCCTGAACAAAACCTCTACTCACGGCAGTAACTATGCAGATTCAACATTCAAAGTAAAAAGGAACTGGTGATGGTGTCCTCCTGGGGCCGGGCAGGGCATGCTCGCTCCAGGTGGTATGAGGAAAGCATAGGGCAGCTTTGCAGTGGCTGCTGGGCATGGCCGGGACTGCCCTGAGCTTCCCCTCAGATACACACAGCTCCTGGGTGATGCTGGCCACAGGAGCGTGAATGCCCACAGAAAATTAAACGGCCTCACGGATGGTGTGCATCCCAAGAGTGACTTGCTTCCCACATGGTTCAGGTGGGGACTGTTAACTCTCTTTTTGTGAAGGCCAAGTTGGCATCTCTAAATCCTGGGCATGTGTGGTGGGGAGCAATGGTGCTAACTATGGGACCACTCCAGAAGTTCAGGCAGAGCCTGGTGACTGAGGGCCTGTGAACTCTGTCAGGAAGGAAAGCAGAAGTGGTGGCAGTGGGCCTCGTAGGGAGAGCCGTATATCAACCGAGCACTGTTTTCCTGTGGCCCCAAGTGAGTAGGACAGTTACAGAGACATCTCCAGTCACCCTCACAGCATCAAGAGGGAGAGGAAGGATCCCTGTGGATAAACAGGCCTGGTGAGGTCGAGCACAGGCAGGACTGGTGGGCGTGTGCCCATTCTGGCACAGGCCGAATTCGGGCTATTCAGAGTAACTCCTCAGTGCAAAGAAAGGAGATGAGGAGGCCAGCCCAGCAGATCTGGGGTGCCAGAGCCTCAGTGACCGGGAAGCCAGTCTGACAGGGATGGTCTCTGGCCTGCTATACTCAGAGGTCATTTACCTCCAGGCCAAACCGTCCCTGGTCCTGGGGCAGGGGGAGAAAGCGAGCATTAGCCTAACAGAGCTGTCACCCTGCTTTCCACCTCAGGAGGTCCTTACACTCAAATGCATGAATTCAAATACCAAAGAGGACCTTTGCAGTTGGTGACATTTGGCTTTTTTTTTTTTTTTTTAACATGGATAGGGTAATAAATTTGAACTGAGCAGATGACAACGTTCCCCTTCTAAACCAGAGCTTCCCAAAAGGCAGCTCATCTTGGATTGAGGGGACAGGATGGTGCTCAGTGCCACAGAGCCTGGAGCAAACATACTCTCAGGACCAACAGCCAACACCAGACTCCCCAGAAAAGGCCCTTCCCTTCTGTTTACAACACAGAGAAGGGAGAGAAAGGTCAGGGCAACTGAGAACAGTGTTCCCTCTCTGCTGCCTCCTCCTCAGGGGCCCCCAAACCAGATGACAAGTCTGGAGCCAGAGTGTTTGGCCAAATCTAAAAGGCCAACCAGACTTTTGCATGGTCATCCCTGGGCCAAACCCACCACCTCTGCTTTCTTTGGACTCTGGTGACAGATGCTTTCAAGAAGTTCACTGGAGTCTAAATGCATGTGGTGACTGCGGGCCTGGCCTGCAAGGCCTAGGACGCCCCGAGTGCCGGAGTCTTCAGGGAAGCGCGGCTGGTGCCTCAGTCCTGCTCGGTGGGACACGATTCATTATCAGTGGTGTTGCCAGCAGCTCTGTCCACTGAGTAGTAACCATTACATTTTCGAAAATAGAATCCTGATTGTGTTTCCTTTAATTTCTCTTCTTCTTTAAAAAAAAAAAAAAGGCAGTTCCAAAGATTTAAATCGTAATGGGGAAGTGAATAAATACCAGCACTTATGGTTCTTAGAAATTTATGTTTTGAAGACAGCATAGCACTCAGGAGGAATTTGACTGTTAAGGTCGGTGAAACCTAGGAAAACAAATAATTAAATCAAGATCAAGGCACTGCCATAAGTGCAGAATTCAACAATCCAAACCTTCTGTCTTCAGATTCCCTATTTCTGGCAGCGACAGGGAGGCTTCCATCTCTCACCAGAGGCTGAAGTTCTCAAAATAACGTCAAGTACTTGAGCCCCAGCAGCTCTACCTTTGCTTTGGGAGTAGCTGAGCCCTGAGCTCCTTCCTGGGCCTCACTAGACAGCTCTAGGGACCCATGTCTCAGCCTGGCCTCGGCAGCTCCATGGAGAACCTAGCCGCATGTCTGAGGCCAGGCACTAGATCCTTAACTGTTCTCTTTCCTAAATGCCCACCAGAGCAGAGGACAAATTTAGGATGGATCAAAGGCTCTGTCATGAATAAGTCAGGTGGCCCTTAAGGCTCTCCCTGCTTCACTGTCCCCAATTACCATCACACTGGACAGCCAGTGAGAGCCATATGGAATCTTAGGCGTGAATCCATGTGGCAGATCCCAAGTGGATTGGGATTTTCCCTAGGTTTGGCCTCTGCTGGCTGTCTATAAATTTTGTCTTCAGCTTTAGTTTTCATGGAAAACTACTTTGTGGTCACTGGTGTTTGGGCACTTTTCAGATCTTTAGCTTGAATTAAAAACTAGTCTGCAGAAGGGCGTGCAAACCCAGTGGGTCAGTAAAGTTCCTTCCCCAAATTTTAGTGGCCATAGTAGAACAAACTTCAAGTTGGTTTTGCTCCCACCACACTACTTGTTTGTGATCCTGATAGTTTGCAGATAGTTTGCAAATAGCACAACTTCAGTGGGGGGGAGAAGGGAAAATAAAAAGTCAATACTAACCTTGTTAAATGTCTACTCAATTCATGAACTTCCATTTCAGTGCTTTTAAATTCATTGAGTTCCTTTCGAATGGCAGCCTGAAAAGGAAAGAAGCTCATGAATATTAAAAAGGAGGAAGAAAGAAAGGAGTCGACATTTTGTTTAATATCTAACAATATATATTTTCTTCAACAAAATCACACAGGTAATGAATTCTTTCACTGGAAGAAAAAGCAATCAGTTGAGATATATCCTTTAGCGCCTACTAAGAGTCCCCCTTTCTCTTAGATCTAAATTATCTAAATTGCAAATAATTCTATTTGGGATACTTCCCAGATCTTCTTGCCTGTATCCCCTCAGAGCTGTTCCCTCTGAGCACAGGTGGCCAGGGGCACCTGCCGGACACGCCTGTGGTCCCAAGCTAGCATTTAAAAGCCAACCTCTCATCTCACTCAGGTCAACAGTCTAAGCTCATCATGGACAGTGATGCCTCAGAACGGATACTTCCAGAGAGGTGGAGCATATTCCCCAATCAAATTAAGGGAATAGGTGATGGCCACCTCGCTGCTTTCCTTTGATTTATAAAGTCTTCACTCTTTTGCAACTATAACGACTCAGTGATCAATGGTATGGTATATGCTTTGGATAACTGCAAATACTCTGAGATCCCAATAACCTCACTCCTCCAGCATTGCCCACAGATGGGGCTGCCTGGGGGGCGCATTTGGGGATGGGCTGTGTAATGAGATTACAAAGAGAGGTAAGGAGGGGTTGACACCAAAGAGTATTAGGGTTTCCAGACAACCTCCTTTCATCCTCAGAGGCTGAAAATTTAAACATGTGCCCTTTTGCACAGTCCTTTTTATAAATATTTGCTTTGATGGCATATCAAGGCGCTGAGTCTGAGGAAAGGTTTATAGGCAGGACCAGAGCCCCTCCCCTCCCCCAAGGAAGGAAAGTGCACTGGGGTTTAAATGCCTGGTTATCAGCGTGGGCGGGGAGGGGGCTGCTTCCTGTTCTGTCCCAGCAGCTTTTGAGGAACTGGGTATGCCCCCTGCCCCACGCTGCTCAGAACCCAGGAGTGCTGGTAGAGACAGCTTGTGCTCTCACTCCGCATTTGCTGATGATTAGAAACCAGCAATGGCAGTGAAATTGTGATCACAAAAGAGCTGGGCCAGTGTTTTTCTTTTTCTTTCTGGCTCACGGGTGAATGGGTGGTGGGAATTTCACAGGACTATAACTGAGATGAGAAAGCATACATTGTATAAAAATGAAGAATGATGTAAAAATATATATAAAATTAAAAAAATAATAAAATAAAAATATGCCAGAAAAAAAAAAAAAAAGAACAAGGGCCAGGCTCCTTTCTTGGTTGAGTTTAGAGGAAACAGCTGCCTGGGGCACTGGGTGGGTCTTTGCTGTCTTGTGTAGGGGGGTCGCTCGCCACCAATTCCTACATGGAGAAAAGAGGGGTGCTATGTTGAAGAGGGTGGAGATGTTCATTTAGGATCGGCAGGGTCACCCCAACATGTGGAGGCATTTCTGGGAGCTCTAGCCACTCTGGTCACATCAGTCCATTCTACCCTCCTGTTCACCACTCCTGGATACAAGCAAAGTCTGGGCTGTCCATGACCTTCTCCTGGATCAAATATAGGAAGCCACCGGCTCTGGGGAGGGATGGGGCAAAGATCCCTGGTAGGTCCCAGGGTCTCCCCATTGGCACTTGCACATTGGACATAGTCATTATTTTAGATTTTTTTAAAAAATGGCAATTATTCCTCCAGGTCCTCATGGAGACTAGACTGGAATCATAAAAGATTATTAAGTAGAAGTTCATTTAGATACATGGTCCAAAGGATGGATACAAATTTTTTTTTTTTATCATTTGTATCATTGCATTTCTTATAAAGCAAATGCAACTTCAGATTATTGTTACTCTTTCCAAATCAATGTGGGTTCAGTGTAAGGAGCTGTGATTTGCAGTCTCTGTGATTTGTGTCCTATTTATCCCATCAGGATTACAAGATCCACAAACAATGATTTTGTTTGCTTTGGCTTTGCAGATCCCTCCTCGGTATCAAGGACAAGGCCTTTACCCAGAGGGTCTGTGGTAGGCATGGCACCTGGAGCCCTAACCCGCAGGTGCCTGAAGAGAGCTATTCTGTTTTTCTGGGCATAGTCACCCCTGGCTGCCATTCTTCCTTTTGAAAAACAGGCAAAAACTGTGTCTGTCTTGTGCCTTCTCTGCAGTAGTGAAGGATGACTTCAGTGACCTTTCTGAGGATTATCTGGAGACTTGTGGAAAGGTGTTGGGGAGGCTGCTCAGGGGCACATGGCACCCCACTAGTGAGACTGCAGCACGGCCTGGCCGCTGGTCTTAGTACCAGCTCCCGAGTCACAAGAGAAAGTCCATACAGGCCAAAACAGCCCAAGGATGGCTGCCCCCTTCTCAGCCCTCTGCTCACTTTGTCGGCAGCGGTGAGGCGGGTCCACGGCTTGTCAGCCCTGCGGTCATAGTCCTGAGCATCGGCCACCTCCACATAGTCGCTGAAGCGGATAAGGATCTTCCTTTCTCGAAGTTCTTCCACCGTGGGTCTCTGGCTGAGCTGTAGGGAGGAGAGTGATGGACCCAGTCAACCAGAGGTCACTTGGTCCACCCATAGATTTATAGTTATGGAATGAGGTCCAGAGGCATATCACACCCAGAGCGAGGGGTAGGGCTGGGAAGGAGCCCAGGGTTCCTGACTACTGGACCTGCGACTCTTCCAGGACTCTAAGACAGTGAACACTGATCACCCTCAAGTCACCCCTGGGCTGATGAGAGAGCCAGGCTGTCTTTCTTAACAATATTGCAATGCCTGGTCTCTACTAGCAGCTGTATCTCTGGGTGGGTGTGGGTATTTGTTGTGTATTTTCCCACATTTGTCCTACCCATCAGGTGACAGGAAACTTATATAATGATTTCACCTTATTTTGGATGTGTGAATCCATATCCATGTGTCAGATTTAATGCTCTCTGCAAAATGGGTTGGCAATACTTATATATGTTGTGAACATGTGTGTGCATTTTAGAAACACAAGAAGTGGTAAATGCAAACTAGTACACAAACTCTGGAGTATGCAGGAATGGGAATACATGGATTTACGAGGTCAGGGGACCCTGCTCCCCAAGAAGTTCAAATGAAAAGGTCAGTCCACAAATGCAGAACTAGGTTGAGCATATGCTAGGATGACTCAGGACAGGCCCTTTGGATGGGTCTGTAGTGAAGAATGAAATAAGCAAAAGAAGACTCCTATTTACCTAACCTTCTCCTGGGGGTTCCCACTAGCACCCTTCCTTTGTATTTTGACAACATAAGACTGATGTTTCAATTATTTCTGCCCATCAATAGGTTTATTTCTTCTGGAGCAACACAGTTGCTCTCTCTTTAAGATGCTGTCAATTCATATTTAACTGATATTATTTAAAAGCAAATTTTCCTGTCAGCCCTAGATATATACTGCATTTAATTCCATTAATAGTAAATGCAGTTAGACAGACTCTTACCACAAAGGTCTACAACACAAATATATACAAGTGAATCCAAACCACCCTGGCTGTTTAGATCCTCTATCATAGAGCTGCCATACACCTTTGGCTGGTGCCAGAATGCTCCAACTTGCTACCACCTGGCCTATAATGGAAGAACATGGTCAGATGACAACCTGGCTGGTATTAAATCTTTTGGGTGTGGTGGGTACTGCTAGGCTCTGCACAGGGTAAGGCAGGCAGCCTGAGGTCCCTCTTGGCCAATGGGGGAAAGATCTGGGGATCTGAGGTTTAGAGGATTGTGGCACTGGTCCCCTGGCCTCAACTGCATGTAGTTTCCTCTCAAAATGGCTCCAGCGTGACCAGAGATGGTCCTGCTCTTCCCAGGACATGCTTTTCCTAGTTATCCTATTATAGGACAATGCAGGTCTCCCAGGCTCCATGGCTGGGGTTGCTTGAGCAAAAATGGCAGCCACCATGACTTCAAAGTATATTCATCAAAATGTGAGTAGGGGGCGCTTTTGCACTATTATTAACCTATATCCCCCAATTTAATATATGCTATATTTACCCCAGATAAATAAGAACTCCCACTCAAAAATCTGTAGTTTGTATGTCTCAGTTACTAGCAAGGTTTACCCTGGGGTGTTGAGCAAAAGTTGTATTTCTAAGTGTGCCACTACAAGAGAGAAGTATTACTTCACTCTGTGGCATCAATAATGATGTTTTCAACCAAAACTGTACAAAAAAGTATATTAAGACCCAAATGCTACTACTAATACACGCGGACCCAGGTGTCCTCCTCTCTCTCCCCTTCCTTGCCTCCCACTCTACTCATTTGTCCGTTATTTAAAAGCAAAGCATATAATGTTTAGGTTAGTCTCTGTTTGGCTGAAAAAAAAAATGACTGTTTTTCTGTCAGCATTGGCACTGTGGCTGCTTCCTTTCACTAGTACATCGAAACTAAATAGAACTGTATTGAGGAAATCCAGGGGCTGAGGGTAAGGAGCTGAAAAGCAGCCACATCATTAGCATCTGGTCCTGGTGTGATAAAGGTTCTCAAGGAAAAGGACTTACGGGGAGCCAGGAGCCCCTGCACACTCCCTAGCTGCTGGCAGGCTCCATCTCTCAAACCACTTCCATTTCAAACCGGACGGGAAAGGGGCCCGTCTGTCCTTCATAAACATGATTCCTCCACAAGCTCATTATTTCTTTTTATCTTTTTAAATTTTTAAAATTTTTTTACATCATTGTTCATTTTTAAACAATATTTGCTTCCTCCCCACCCTCTCAGGTGTACAAAACACAACAAAGCAAAACCAGACAATTACAAAGCAGAGACATCCTGCAGGGGAGGAGGCCGGAGAGGCTGAGAGGGAGGGAGGGGCACAGGGGGCTGTGGTGATGGTGCACGGGTGCGTTGGGGAAGGAAATTCAAGCTCATTATTTCTAATTCCCCATGCTAGTCACAGCAGAGGGTAAATGCTGAAATTAAAAGACAGCTTTCCTAGGGAAAGGAAGAAGTAGTAACCGGGAGGAGAGGAAGCATTTCTCTTATCTTGGAGAACTGAAAAAACAATGGGTTCTCAGTTGGTGGCTCTCCCGAATGTTACCCATTCTAGGGGAGTTGGGTATGGAAGGGGACCCTCCTCCCTCACCCCCTCCTGCCAAATTATGCAATTAGTCAAGTTTTTCTCTGCAAAATCATACACTCTTTTTAAGGATAAGAATTAAATGCATGCCTAAATATTTCCCTATTACTGTGAGAATTTAGATTATTCTGTACCTCAACTATTCTGTGTATTTGCCTTGATTACTCTGTGCCTTTCACCCAGAATACGAACAGAGAAAGTTTGAGATAAGGAACCGCTCGGAGCAAAAGCCTTGGCATGAGGATCTATACATGCTGAAAACAGCATGTGCTGAAAACAGCAATAGATATTATGCTTAGAGTAGCAAAAACACTGAAGCTTCCCTTGACTCTCTCCCTGATTTCCCAGCCTTGGTTGGGGCCAGCTGGTTATGCATCCCCCACACACTTGTGCATTCCCCATTTGCCTGCTTGCTTATTTGATTTTTTTTTTTTTAATTTTCTGCTTGATTCTAAATAAAAATGAGACTGCCTTGGAGCTGGGCTGCACCTTCCTGGTGCAGTACCTCTAGGCTTCTCATTGCCCTGCACATGGACTTAGAGTAATCTTTCTTTATCCCACCACCACACATTTTAATGAGACATATTACTAGTTTCTGGTAAGACACCCTAAAATTTAGGAGAATATTTAGGTCCCTGCAATCAATTCCAATGAACTTTATGGGAATCTGATTTAATTTTTTTCTGAATGTCTAGACCTTGAGGAATGATCACCAGCTAGTTTTGATGCCCTCGTAATTTTAAGGACACACTTAGAACCAGCTAACCCATCTCCCTGTGTTTTCCGCACTGCTGGGTCTCAGGAAAGAGTGTGTTCTGCATCCAAACATTGGTTGGTCTTAAGCATGTAAGAGTCAGGAGTCAGACTTTGACCAAGAGGAGGGTGACCTTATAAAGAAAAGCCACTTCTTGTTCTAGTCTCTCCATCAATGGACACCGGCTTGTCTGACCTTTTGGGAACTCCTTTACCCTACTGCTTTTCCTTGGGATGCCATTTGGCTTGTGGAGCTGTTTGGGCTGCTCTAAGGGAGAGAAAGAGTTAGGAATACAAACCATCCCCTTAATAATTGCTATGTTTCAGGAGCTCTGATTTTTTTTCTTTGCACAATATTTTGAAGGAGAAAAATCCATTAACAAACTTTTTAAAAATTAATTTTAATGGACGTCTTAACTGTCATTAAGATATGAGTATCATTCAGGATGGTCACTGTAGGAGGCTGATTAAAAACACTCTAGTCCCACAGGGGTAGTATTATCTCCCATGTGTCATCAATTAATTAAACTTCTCAACATCATCCAAGAATAGCCTCAAATAATTTTATCATTAAAATGGCCACTCATAAAAAATTAGATCCACTTGGATCTACGTTGCATTGCTAACTATCTATTTTGGGGGTTAAATATATCTATAAAAATTTTAGCTTTAAAGGCATCAATGTGCTTTTCAAACACTCTCATTAAATTTATCAGTATTTCTGGAATTTTCCTTAATTCAGTAATTCAAATTGGATTTAGCATAATAAAGTCAAGTGGTTCTTCGTTAATGGATAAGAAATAGTATGGAGGAGGTAAGGAAAACTCATGTTTTTCTGGGGTCATGTGAATAACCATTATATTCGATCTACTGATTTGGATAATGAGTTTCCAATTGTTTGATGGGGTTATAGTGAATTTTTAAAAATGAAATAATTAATGTAAGTGAAAATATAATGATCTGACATCAAGTTGCTTGGGGGTCAGGTAGGTATCACAAAATCAAGCAGCAAAGACCATCCAAAAGGATGGAGGGCCCTGAAGCTGAGTTGATCACCCCTAGTGAGGTCCTGCAAAGTCTGGAAGGGTGCAAGCCTGGACACCAGAGAAGAGGGTTAGGCAGCTACACAGCTTGAGGCTACCAGAGAGCCCCCGGGGAAGGCCCGCCCACCTCCCTACCCAGGCCCCCTCCATGGAGCACTGGCTCACCTTTCGAGTTAGTCTCCTCTTGATTTCTCTTTTCTCCTCCTGCTCCTCTTGTTCATTCCGAGCTGAAAGAAACATTTAAGATGCTTCTGATTTTATTCAACAGTGTCATGCACAAGTGCAGCCTCTGGACCTTTGCAGACCCCAGTGCAGGAATCTCAGTCTGTGGAGGGGGGACAGTGAGCTCCTCTCCCTTCCCTGGCTGCCCTTGTGCCAGACTGCCTACACTGTTTCAACTGAGCAGGTTGACCTTTTTGTCTGCCATTGTCACATCGGGTTTTGAATCTCCAGGCAAACATAATGGGCAGAGAAGTGTGGGTACAGGACAAGCAGGTAGGTTCTAAAAGAGTGGGTGTACCATTAGCAGTGACTCGGGCATCTGGGTGAAGTGACAAGCCTTGGGCCTCACAGTGACTGAAGCAGGCTCATTGTGACATGTGCTATGGGGTGGAACAGAAGACAGGCCCAAGGGGGTGCCTGGTACCTGCTGCAGAAAAGGAGCTAACTGAGGCCAACTGCAAGCCTGGCTGCGTGAAGAGGAAGTTTAAAATTCTCACCTTTTGCAAGCCCTGTTTCCATTAATTCTTTGAATCTTCCAAGAAGTCCAGAGAGTATGTGTGAGGCCAGAGTGTGGGATACAATTGCCTGCATTTGGACCTTTAAGGAGTGTCTTAGGAGAGTAGACTGCAGAGCCTAAACGTTCTCAAAGTGACATGTGAGGTGACTTACTCATCAGATGTTTAAGGAACTGCAGGGAAGAGGGTTGGAGAAGGGAACAGAGATTTGGAAGGCAGAGAATTTGGGCCAACTTTTCCTTAACCTAAATGAATGAACCTGGGCACATCACTTCCCCTGTAGACCTGGGCATGGGAGCATGGGTATAAGCATAATGTCTACCTCACAGAAAATCATGACAGACAACCTGTGTCAAAGAAGGCATCTGATTCTCACTTGATGAATTTAGAATGGGTAAAAGGAATCTGCTTCAAACTGATCTTGGCACCTGGTGATTTGGGAGGACCTAGGCACTTTTTCTCTCATTTTTAAGTCACTGTGGTTAAATTAGATTTCTGTAGCTTAATTAACGTATGATATTAGTGTACACTTGCCTTTCAGTTATCTTGGTAGGTATAGGATACATCTTTAAAGGAAGGAAGCCCCTTGCATAGAAGTGGGGTTCCCTTTGCCAGTCCTATAGCAGCAAGCACAATTACACAGCTAACTCGCTTGGAAGGTTTCAGCACCTCCCACATCAGGAACAATGGCAATTTACAGCAGAATTTAAGTCCTTCAGCAACACTCCCAGGGGCACAAATGGGCCATTAGGACTGCCTGTGGGGATCAGGAGCTTGTGTGGGGGCAGCACAAGAAATGCTCACACCTGCAGTGGGTCAAGATCACCAGCTTGCCCTCTCATTCCCCCAAACCCCACAAGAGTGCATTTTCCTTTGGATTTAAAGATCCTATCTGCCTCCCTGAATTCCCTTAAAAGATGTCAATTTATCATGAGTAAAATCCCATTAAACTAGTCTACCAGAGATAAATAGGTGGCAGACAGCAGGACTCAGAGGAAGGGAAACCCCCATAACGGCATGAGGGAAGATGGAAGAAAGTCTGGTGGTGAGCGCCCAGGAGGCATCTAGAGTGTGGATTCACCACCCCCCTGTTCTCGGGATGTAGTCTTGGCACCCAGAGTTCCTGCTGGTCTAGCTAAAATGTAGAGTCAGTCAGGGAGCCTCTCATCAGGACAAATGTCTTGGTATGAGGATATCTGCCGAAAACAGTAGGCAGACATTATGGCCAGATTAGCATCACCAGCTAGACCACCTTTGACAGGAATTTAGTGTAAACAAAGACTCGAGGGAGGATGTTTTGATCAGCAGCAACAATGGGTCCTCACAGGCAACAGTCCCTCTTCACTTCACCCCCAGCTTGTGCCAGACAATTATGCATCCCCAATCCACATCCCCAACACCCACAGTCCTCCACACATTCCTCTTTGTAGTTGCCCACCTTCCCTGTATCTGACCCCAAGTAAATGTGAGACTCTCATGGGGGAAGGCACTGCATCTCCAGAGATGTGAGTCCTTCTAGGTGTCTCTCTCTCTCACTACTTGGATGAGTTATTTTTCCTCTGTCCCTCGCTGCCCCCAATGCTGCCTCCCTGAGAGGCAACACTAGAGACCGTGGGTTAACAGAGTCACAGAATATTAGGGCCATGAAGGGTGAGGGATGTAAAAGCCCAGGGGAGTTAAGTGAATGATCACACACTACATGACTAATAAATTCTTTTTTCTTGGGCCTCCCTGGTGGTGCAGCAGGTTGAGCACAGCACTGTGAAGCTGTCTGCAGCCTCTGCAGCATGGATTTGATTCCCGGTTGGCCAGAGAGATTCCCACATGGCGAGCAGACCTCTCCTGTCTCTCCCGCTGCTCCCCTCAGCAGCGTATTTCAGTCAGTCTGCCTGTTCTGTTCCCCTCTCTGTCTCTGGTGAATCCTCTCACCCTCCCACACATACGGCCCGTATCCCGGTTCTTGTATAAAAATAAATAAATCTTTAGAAAAAAATTCTTTTTTCTTGTTATAACTTGCTGCATCTTCCCCCTGTCATGTTTGGTGCCAGCCCCCTCTTCATTCCCAACTACTGGCTTCAGACTCTAGTAGGGGCCTCTTCAACCCCCCACAACCTGCTAAGGCTGGCTTTCTAGGACAGAGCATGGAGCCTCATCTCCTACGTGCATCTCTTAGGTCCCTCTGAGGGGTAGGACCACAAGGGGTAGAATCTATACCTTTAGTTCAAAGCCATTTACAAACCCTGGGTTTCTCAGGCAGAGGGTACCAAGACAACCCTGCTAGGCAACTGGGAAGACAGGCCAGCAGGGACCATGATGTCATCAGCTGCTGCACTGTCAGAGTGTGCTTATTATGTGCTCAGATGCGCACAGTGACACATGGGCTGCTCTGGCTGCTGGGCAGGCTGGGATGGGCAGTCAGACCCAGACTCCAAGCTCACAGCTGGCTGAGCCTGGCTGTCTGCGCCCCGTCTCCAGCACTCCCAGAGAGATGGTTCCTTTAATGATTTAGCCTGGAAATAATTTCTAGAACAAATTGTTTGAGGGTGTTTCTTATACACCTCAGCATTTTTTTTTTGTTTGTTTAAATATCTGAACAGACCAAAAAAAAAATAAAATAGGAAGAAGAACAAAAAGGTATTTAGGAAAACCAAAGTTCCAGAATGCAGGGATAAAATAAGAACCAATGGGAAAAATAAGTTTATTTCCACAGAGTTTTGTAACTGGAAATGATTAAGCTGTTCTATTCTGGCCAAGCACTTCTTTATCCTGCAGTATTAGAACAGGACAAGAAGGAAGGGGACAGGACTAACGGCAACATGGGACCAGTTTCAAAAGCCACTTTCATGCCTAGAATCTGAGCCTCCAAACTTGCCAGGCACAAGTAACTATCCCTGAGATCAGAGTTTCTTGCTGGATGGCAATAAAAACCCAACACCTGGAAGATGCCACTAGCCTTCCAGGCTCGGGGGAAGTAAGAAGAGGTCCTTCAGGAAGGCAGAGGTGAGCTGGGGAGTGGAGGTGTTTTCTTTCCCGAGCCCTTGCCCTTGTCGAGAGTATTCTTTTTGAAACCTGAAAGAACCCCAAGATTTTTAGCTTCTTTCAGCTTGGAAGTCAGGTAGGTGGTCACAAGTGTGAGGGATGTGTGTGGGGGTGAAGAGGGACAAGGAGAAGCATGTTTCCCAATTTCTGATTTTAGAAAATAGCTTTCTGCTTTTTTTTCCCCCCCTCCCAAAATGGAAAGTGTATGATGGATGAAGTATCAGATTGGTGCAGAAAGGGAGATATCATATAGGCCACATGTTTCTCTGAACATGGCAACCATCTGGAAAAGTTTTAGTTCTGCTTAGTGTAGTAAGCAGTACAAATAAGGGCACTCCTTGGTTAGAAGAAAATAGATACACGAATTCCAAGAGACCAAGGAAATAGGTGAGGTCACTTAAGACTGAGTAAGGCCAATCCTGAAAATACTAGGCACTAAGAGCTGGGGTGAGGCTGGAGCAACACTGGATGCAGCTGTGGGCAAACATCAAGTTGGCGTGAGCAGGAGGTGCTCTCTCTCCTCCCTCTCCCAGCAAACCAGTTAGTGATGACCAAGTCACAAGAACCCAAGCAGGGGGGTAGACAAGTTAACTGAAGAACATGTTAGTTCAGAGAAAGTGGAAATACCCAGTCACTCAATGGGAGGCCTCACATGACAGGCACGCGCGTGCGGTGTGTGGATGTGCATATGCCTGCTTAGCAGCCCCATGACCCTCTGCAGAGAATACATTTCTCATTTGTGGAGAGAAATTAGAAGGGGTGTGTCCACATGTCGGGAAAGAGTCAGGAATTAAGCCAAAAATATCCGTTGATCATCTTAAGGAAAGTGTTAGAACAGTAGTAGGGAATTGAGCAGAATGCTGCTCTCTCTTAATTATTTAATATCTCCCGCTAAACTGAGGCACGTGGGTGTCCATGAGATGCTTGATTTCTGGGTGTATATATATTTACATATTTGTATGTAAATATCAAGTGAATGCTGTATCTATTTAAATATTTATATTCTGAATCTCTGTGTCATTTGTTTTTTCAGTCCCGGCCACAGTGGCACGAGCTTTTCTAGAATGAGAGCATTAGGCAGGATACCTCTGGCCAGGGCTGGAGGCCTGAGATGAAACATGTTCACTTAGAAATGCTCTTTTGCACTTTAATGTTCAAAGGGAGGGGGAACTTTATCAACAGCAGACAGCTGTAATAGAAAGGCATATTTTCTGGTCCATGTTTGCAAATAGTTATTTCTCTTACTTTAGCCACTAATAAAGTATTTAGGTTTTAGGCTAATTGTGGTCTGAAGGTGACCTTAATTTTCCTCAAAATCATTTTATACCAAGTTCTTTCTCTCTAATTTTTCAGCTTCTCTCAACCTAATAAAGGGAAGGTTACAGCCCGTGCGCTTCCAGTGAGCCCAGCGGATCAGACCCTGCCTTCTCTATGGGAAGGTTAGCACGAATCTTCTCATACAGGGATGAAGCCTCAACACCAGAGAGGTTCACAATCATTTCCACACATTTCCTCCTAGGCACAGTGAGAATCCCCGGGGCCTACAATTAAATAACAACCAAAGCCACCACAAAACATTAGTGATTGCCACTGGCTCAGTCACTTACGTTTCAAAATGTTCCTCTGCTCCAATTCCTCTGCAGTTGGCCTCTGGCTCAGTCGCCTGCGGAAAAGATCCAGGAAAAGTTTTTGGACCATTTCATATCCTCCGGGGGTCATTAATCTCCCTGGCCCTTGTGGAGACATGAGGCAGAGTCAGGGGCTGGAGTGCTTGCTCCATCCTGTGCTTTAAAAGACTGACTCTCACCACCACCGCCTCCTCAGTTCCTCAATTTCAACCCCAGGAAGAGCATGGAGCTGCCGACACGTCACGGGAGCTGCCCCTCCGCCTTCCTCCCTCTGCTGGCCCCTCCCTAGCCTTGCTCCTCCGGTGCCTCCAGGCAAGTGGACAGAAACATAGTTAGGAATCTTCTCTTCACAGAGGTCTCTTTCTTTCCTTGTGGTCTCTTAACTTCAGGACTGTGGCCTCTGTCTTTCCCTCCTGACCCTGAGGCTAGAGGTTGAAGACCCAGTTGGTGCAGACCCAGTCAGAACATAAAGAGGTTCATGGCCCTGGGGTACATGAGAGAGCATGTCTTGTCCACGGAGAACAATAGCTGCTCTTCTTCTTGTCCTCACCCGTCAGCACTAGGACCTCACTGGACATGGAATGACAAACGAACAGGAACAGAAGTGACCCTCCTGTCACTGGGCACATAATTCAGCCATAAGAGGTGAAACATCAGAGCAGGGTATGAACTTGAGATGATGCAACAGCGGGAGAGGGCAGGGGCAGACAACAGGTGGCCACCGCATCGTGGTGGAGAATGAGAAGGCACCAAACAGCAGCCTCATAAAGTCACAGAAATGATCAGCCTCAGCCCTCACACAGATGTTTGAAGTTCTTGAAAATTAGTAAAGAACCCTGCAATTATTCAGTGTTCTCCTTCTGTGACTGGGATGAGGTGTGTGAGGTGTGAAAATTAGGGAAGGCATTTTAGGCTTTTTAAGTCCTCCGTGGGGGATCTAAGGGGTAGAAAGGGGTGCTTTCCTGACAGTAAAAGTTATAGTCCCTCCCCAAATATCTGCAACTAGATGTCTGCATCATGGAATTTGAAGAGAGAACCCAGAGTGAACACAGAAGTCCATGGAGTTGCCAAGTGTAAATATTTTCAACTGAATGTCATTTGTGTTTCTCTTTATTGCCCTGGGGCAAAAACGATTGATTCTGTTTGTATCATTACCTTACATGCTGTGGACAGAGAAAGGATTTTTGGTCAGTCACACCTGTTCTGGAAAATCTATAGGATCCTGGAAACTGGAAATTGTATCCCAAAGTGTTCTTAAGTTTATAAGAACATTTTCACATTTAATATTCATTATCCCCTCAAAACATCTCATTAAGGCATGATTCACAAGGGACAGCTAGTATTTGGAAATTCACAATATTGGAGGTTCTACATTTGGGCTCAGCAGTATTTTTATCCTCTCTAAAACAGCATTCTCATAGTATAGGAGGAGGCTTGAAGTCACATGAAGCAGCACACTGGTGTCACTGGTCTGGAATGCAGCTACTTACTCCATTTGGAAGCTGTTTCTTAGAGGCTCTGCCTCAACTTTCCCTTTATTTTCCCAAAGAATACTTGTTTCTGTTACAGAGATGCACAGCCACCCACATGGGACCATCTGGTAAAAACCAGACATTAAATGAACTTAGAGCCCTGGAAGGACGTTGAATAAGCCCTCCAGGTGCAAGGGAGTTTGAACCTCAGAAACAGTGCCAGATTTTGAAGTCTCACGTCCAGAAGTGTCTGCAGAATGCTTACTCACTGGCTGGTGTCTAGTAGCCCTTGATTCCAGCACCAGACATGTTGACTGGTTCTGTGTTGGCCTTTATGTTGTTTGTCATATGGGTCATATTTGGAGAGGACAAAAATTAGTGAACTATAAACAGAAAATTTTGTTATTAACCACCTGGCAGCCTTCTGATCAAACAGAGGGTCAAACTCTCTGGTTAAGTTTTATTTCTCTAGAAAGGGCCTGGGAACATCAAGGATAATTATAGTGATGAAATGTAGCTGACACCCTTCCCCAGGATGGGTGTATGCCATAATTACTTGTTTTGACTTTGAAAATGAAAGTAGGTAGGAAATTGACATTAAGGAATTGTAATGACAAGGCACTGGAGTTGGGGGATCTGGGCTCTGGCTCAGATCTGCTCTGAACCTTGGATGGGCATTTCTTTTCTCTGCAAATAAGAAATAGTCATTTAATAAACTAATGCTGATTTAATATATAATATGCAGGTATGATTCTAGCAATTATATGTGTGATAATTCATTTAATATTTATAGCACCTCTTAGATATAACACCACCATCATTTCCATTTTACAAACAGGCAAAGAAAGTGGTATGTCTTAGCCCAGGTTACCCAGCTTGCCAGTGACAGAGCCAAGACCTAAACCCAGACTGTCTCTCTAGTCAGAATACTCTTAACCAGCCCATGCATTTACTAATGCTGCCGCAGCACATCACCATAAAGTGGCTTGAAGTAATACAAATTTATTAGCGTACAGTTCTGGAGGTCAGAAGTCTGAAATATATATAGCAGCAGGCTAAACTCAAGGCACCAGCACTGCATTCTTCCTGGAAGGAGAGGAGAATCTATACCCTTGGCTTTTCCCTCGTCTAGAGGCTGCCGCCCTTTCTGTGCCCCTTCCTCCCTCTTCAAAGTCAGCAGTGCAGCAGCTTCCAATCTCTCTCAGGCTTTGACCCTCTTGTCTCCCTCTTGTGAGAAAGCCTGTGATCACATAGGGCTCCCCCAAATAACACAGGATAATCTCCTTCTCTCAAGATCCTTAACTTAATGGCAGCTGTAAAGTGCTTTTTGCCAGGAAAGGTTATATATCTCAAGGTTTGGGGATTAGGACACAGACATCTTAGTCAGAGGTTGCAAACTGATGGATGGATTTGACTCTAAAAGTTTTCTATGAAATGCCCAGGGATTACAATTATTTTTTACCTGTCTTTTTTTTTTTTAAAGATTTATTTATTTATACAAGCACCGGGTACAGTCAGAAGCGCGGGAGGGTGAGAGAATTCACCAGAGCCAGAGTGGGGAACAGAACAGGCACACCGACGAAGTACACTGCTGAGGGGAGCGGCGGGCAGCAGGAGAGGTCTGCGCGCCATGTGGGACCCTGGCCCGGGGGCCAGGGATCGAACCGGTGCTGCAGAGGCTGCGGGCAGCTTTGCAGCTGAACACTCAATTGCTGCGCCACCGGGGAGGCCCACCCGACTGTCTTTATAGAGGGTGTGTGGGTTCTATTTTGCCAGTACCTTGAACTTACTTGGGTGATACACATGAGCCCGGTGACATCTTCCTTCCCTCCTTCCTTCCATCCTTCCTCCCTCCCTCCCTCCCTCCCTCCCTCCCTCCCTCCCTCCCTCCCTCCCTCCCTCCTTCCTTCTTTCTTTCCTTCCTTCCCAGTCATTCCTGGTTTCTATGGGCTTCTGAGTTTGAGACCCTTGGGTGAGCTCATCAAACCCTATGAGTTCTGTCTTGTGTTTCCCTTCTTTCATCCACCAATCTAGTAACATGGCTACAGAGGCTCCCTGAGGATAAAGCAGTGACAATTTCTAAGGAATTTATGACGTAGATAGAGGTGCATGTTAGTGGAGGCATGGATTAAAATGTCCATGTTAAAACTGGATCAAGGATTTTCAGGAGCTAGGTTGTAATAAAACAGCCTTGAAATGGTAAACAATTTGGACATGATTTAGACTTCCATGCAATTTAAAAGGTACTGCAGATTCTTGTAGCATCCCAGCATGGCCATCAAGAAGGTCAGCTAAAGACACATCAGTAGGATGTGGAAATGGGACTGGGCACCTATCAAAATTGTGAAGGCAGAAGACTTTGTGGGGTAACTGTCATGACTCTTCCACTAGATTCTTCCTTTCTCCGTAGACTGATGTCATCATCCAATGTCAAGACCTGTTCTTAAAAGTGGGTGCTCTATCCTCAGCCACAGTCAAGTACATTCATTCACTTGACAAATTATTGAGTGCTAATCTGTGCCTGGTTTTGGGGTATAGTGATGAGCAAAAACAGAGCCACCAGCCCTACCTCCACATCCTACTGACCTGTTTTCAGCTGACCTTCTTGATGGCCATGCTGAGATGCTACAAGAATCTGTAGAACCTTTTAAATGGCATGTAAGGGCTTCGGTGGTGAGACACCTGGGCCAGTGATACTAGTATCTGACCCAGCGAGGAAGTCAGGAAAGGCTGCCCAAAGGAAGTGACATGTTCCCAGGATGGAGGATGGAGGAAGCCAGTTTGCTGGAGGGGAGAGAGCAGGGGGAAGGGGGAGCGCGGGAAGTAAGGCTGCTGCCATGCCCTATGGGTCAGGTAGGCTGTATTTAGGATTTTCACACTTTTTCAAGGAACAATGCAAAGCCTCAGAAGATTTCAAATGTTAGTGTGTGACTGCTGTGTTATTGGGATGAACACTTTCAATTACTGCAGATTGCACTGATTCTTGCACAGAGAATGGACTGTGGGAGGCATGTGGCAGTTTGAGTAGAAGCCTTGGCCTTTACTGCCTGGAAGAAGATGGTGGACACTAAGATCAGGCTATGATAGTGGACTTGCAGATTAAGGGCAGAGGGGAGAAAGGAGCTGTATGAGTAGGATAGGTCTCATAACTGCGACTCTTTGGATGGTAGTGACATCCATTGAGTTGGGGAACATTGAAGGGAAGGGGAGATTTTGGTGAAGGATGAAGGAAGAGAGAAGGGAACCATGAGTATGAGTTTGGATCTGTTGGGTCAGAATGCCTTGGCAGCACCAAAATGGTGATGTCAAATTGGCAGTGGGATATGTTAATAAGCTCAGTAGAGAGGATAGGTCTAGGCCAATGATGGAAATTTGTGACTAGTTTTTAATAAAGATGACTTTGGAAGGCAGAAGGCAAGGGTTTAGGGTAGAGTCTTACAGAATAGCAATGCTAATGCTCAGCTGAGGAAAGACAGGGTTCATAGAGGTAGGAGAAAAACTAGAATGTCACATTGCAGAAGCAAGGTAAGATGACAGGCATGGCCAACAAATAGTGCTGAGCA